TGAACTTATAATTCTATATAAAACACTGATTTTCATCTCTCCAGCCTCATATTTTAATGTATTATCCAGGGCTTGTTTTTTTCCTGCACACCATTCTGGGTCCATCTCATAGGATCCCAAATGTCACCTTCCTATGTACTGGCCTGTATGCAAGGCTCAGTTGGGAGACTAGGCCCTTCAACTCAAATTTCTGGTGCCTTATTCATGAAATTAGACTATGGTCATATCAGGAAATCTGGTTGTGGAGGAATCCCTTTGCATGTAGCCACTTTAGGGGTTGGGGTGTGGACATGGTCCCTTTGAAAGTCATTCTTAAATTGCAATCCACTGCTCACTATTAAAAGGCACTTGCTTTGAAGGAAATGACTTTCCCCAAATTTCCAGGGCTGAAAAGGAAATACGTACTCTTTGCAGCATCATTATTAAATTATTCTTTTCTTTCACAAAGTGATCTTGTTCTCTCTGAGCTTGCTGGACAATGTGGTTGGCTTGCTTTTTCAATGCAGAAATTTTTTCCTGGCGGAAAAGAAGATGATCATAGAAAGATGCAAATCAGACATACAAAGGTTTGTCCTAGAAACAAGAGAAGAGGTGTTTATAGCTGGAATAACATTCTCATTGACGGTTGGCCGATTGCTACCCAGAGGCAGTTTCCTAGACGGCCAAGCTCGCGGCTTTTCCTGACCAAGGGCCAACACAGTTTGAGCGATTTGAAATCTATTTGAAGAACCCAGAAGTCAACAGGAAATCTTGTTTTAGACTACAAATGAATTTTTGGCATCATCTTGGGAGACGCCTTATGGGAAAAACAATGGAATTTCTTATTTAAACTGAGAGCATAAGATGTCACCTTCTCCATCTTCCCTTTGCTCAATTTTTTGGGTTTAGTCCAGAGTGCTGGGGGGTGATTCTAAATTCTGGAGCAAGAGCTGATTTCTGGGCTGGACATCTGGGTGCCAGGGGTTGGGAGGAGTCAGTAATGTGCATGGCATTCATGGGGCTATTTCTAATGGTGACAAGCTACCAGCCAGCTTTGCGAACTATTGAGCAATGGACAGAGAAAGTTTCCAAATAGATTCTGTTCATACAATTATTCTGAAGCTAGTTACTATGACTGCAAAAGGAAGTAATTGAAAACAAATATCGAAATTTCTGATTTTCTCTAACTAGGTTTTCACATAAGAGAAAAAAAAGATATTATTTATAATTGCATCCACAGCATTAAGTAACAATGACTGTAACATGTAATGTTTATCTAGTTTAAAGCACCATTTGGCTCCATAATCTGCCAAATGTGATATGTGATTAAACACTCAAAGACATTCAGATGTAAAGACAGGCAGACAGACACATGCTATAGCTGTATTATTGATTATTATTGTTACACAGTGAGGGGCATATTATGATTTTTGTCTTGAATGACAGCCGGCAGAAGTACCTTTCTAGTAACAATGTTCCGTTGATATTCAGCCACCTCACGCAAGAGCTGTTGGGTCAGGTTCTCCTTTTCCTCATCCAGACGGCTCTCGTGCTCTAGCTGCTGGAATTCCAGGTCCTCAAAGTGTTTGCTCTCAACATCCAACAGGTCAGCATCCTTTGGAGAAAAGCAAATGAAAACAAGACACACTATAATGGCTACAGTCTTTTTAATGTGAAAAAAAAAATTTAAAAGCAAACAGTCCAAAATATCTTTTCAATTACGACATCAAACAGGGTTATAGTATGGTAATCCTTCCTTTTGGAATTAACTCCCAGTGCAGAGACTGTTATTAGAATTGAAAAGGACTTGGGGACACATTTATTTCACCATCGATTTTAGACTACTTTGTGGACAGAGAAATTCTTGCTTTAAATCTACTGGGTGGCTTTAAAATGGATCACAAAGTATACAAAGAATTCAGTGAATAACCTAAATATTATCTGCAGACCAAAGGTGTGACATAGTCTCTTGAGAACATTCCCACTTTCCACAAATGGTCAAATAAAATGAGACTTTAGTTCAGTGATTAAATTCAAGATTTCAAAGTTGTTGACTGTAAAGAAAAAAAAAAGAAAGTTGTCATACATAACAGACCAGAGGTCTCTAAGAGGGAAATATGTCCCAAATGGCACACCACACAATCCACTAAGATATGAAGAGAAAATATTAGAGCTCCTTTATACTTAATTTTAGTTTTTCCTTCCCTTTTATAATTCCTCAACAAATGTTCTTTAACCTACATACAAGTAAGTAGCATATATACATTATTTAATATAAATATATATTTTTGAGCATGCATAAGTATATATATGATCAACGTAACATATAGGCATGCATGCTCACATAATTTTATTGAAGAGAGGTGTAATCAAACATATTTGGAGATTGGGGTTCTTAAAAGGTTGTTTATAAAACTTCTTAGTGGGAAGAAGGGACCTTAGCTCTCATCAGGCACAAAGAGAGACTCAAAGATTATACACAGTACTTAGGGTAATCTTGAGGACACTTAAGAAAGATCTGAAATCATAAAAATCAGATAATCTAGAACGGACATTCTCCAACTCATAAGATGCCTGAAGACAAGAATGAATCTGTATCTGTGCAAAAATCGACCCATGTTGTATAAGTTATTCTCCAATTTACTTTTTAAAAAAATCCACCCTTCACTTTTGGAGAGTTTGACAGAACTATAAATGTGGTATGTATAGATTTTTAAAAATATATAATTTATAAATAATCTATGGCAAAAAAAGAAGAGGCAGCTGAACTATATGGATTGCAGCTCTTCATAGGCAAAACAGCCAAGACTTTTTTTCCAATCAAAACATCAAAAAGAGATGAAAAAATAAATATATCATAAATTAGATCTGCATTAGCATTTTACTTCATCCACCTCCTAGTTTTTATGTAAGTGATAATAAATTAAGTCTTTTAATCAAATGGAATGTATTTCTATTTTATGGAATAATTTTATTCTGAGAATGATTCATAGAAGAGATATTAGCTACTATGTAACCCCTGTGATTAAAACCAACACTACAGCAACAGAAGTGTATTCTCAAAGCTTAAGAGTAGAAAAAACAATTTGAAAATTTATCATTTAAAACGTCTTTACACTTTAATTGGCCAGACTAAAATATGGTTTTGGTTTCAAGTTATTGTCTGACATTTCAAGTTTCTCAGACATTTCATGTTTATAATTTCTAAAGAAATGAATAAACTCAGACCAAATCTAGTCTCTACTGAAGAAATTAAGAGATAACTCAAGTATTATGCCTTGAAACAAGTATTAAGTCCTATAGTCTTGCAGCAATACATTAGCTGATATATTTATTCATACAGCTGTACACACTCATTTTTAAAGTCTTTCCATTAAACTTGGTTTGTGTCTAAATGTTATTGAGATAAAAATTTAACAAACCCTTTTTTTAGTTTATAGATACTCTACATTCAAAGTGGATATATGGCTCACAATATATACACTATGCTAGTCAGTCCCTCAATCCACATCTGGTTAACATGCAATATGTTATTTTAACTGCATGAAGGTCAGAGAGTCACTAATTAATTTGTAGTAAATATTTAAACCACTGCATGACAATAATGGCACACTAGGAAGGAAACTGGAAAACTAAAGCTAAACTCAGCACTCAGATTCTGTGGGTGTAATCATCTGACCAAGTTACCTAAACTATCAAAATGTGTGTCTATAAACTTACACTGTGAAAGAAAAACAATGTGGGAGGGCAAAAAAAAAAACACATTTAAAAGATATTAGATAATACAAATTTAGGGGATGAAAATTGGGGTCAGAAGCAGTTTCATCGAGCACAGAACAATACAGGCAGGAAGCTCCAGTAAGTATACGATGAGTTGCATGAAAATCTGAACTCCACCTCACTACTAGAACATTATAGATCTCTACCGCTGGCAAGCTTAAAGGCCAGGTGTGAAAGGCCCTGAAACAGCTCACTAAAGAAAATTCAGTGCAATTCCTTTATTTTCTTTCCAATAACTTTTAAGAATTTATATGGCAGAGTTTATATGTAGATGTTTATGTTTTCTTTGCCTTGTAGAGGAAGAAGAGAATAGATGTGATAAAGCCAGGAGATATTAAAGTAATGATTTCATGACAGCTCAAGACCAAGTCTAAAAGAAAATTTAAATGGGGCTCAAGGTTTGTTAACATTCCTGCATCTTAGGTTCTATAGTCAAACACTTTAACTGCATACTTTTGAAATTTGGAAAGATAATGGTACAATGGTACATCTAGTACAACCTCTTCATTTTATATAGGAGGATACTGAGGACCATGGAGAATGAATGACTTGTGCAAGATTAAATTATAAACTGATTGTAGAATCACTGACAAGGTCTCCCAATTATAGATATTATGGTGCCCCGCTGGTGTGGCTCAATGGTTGAGCATCGACCTGTGAACCAGGAGGTCATGGTTCGATTCCTGGTAGGGGCACATGCCCAGGTTGTAGCTCGATCCCCAGTGTGGGGCCTGCAGGAGGCAGCCAATCAATGATTCTCTCTCATCATTGATGTTTCTATTTCTCTCTCCCTCTCCCTTCCTCTCTGAAGTCAATTAAATATATATATAATGGAATATATATGTGTGTGTATATATACACAATTATATATAAAATTTTTTTAAAACCAGGAGCCTAATCTCAACTAGGCAGCTGAGTAAATATCCAAAGCACAAGAAACTGTCCTAGCCAGGTGTTGCCTGCATTTAATAGTGGAACCTTTCCTGGCAAATTAAAGACTCATTTAATTTCAGCTTTCTTTCCCACACTACTCATACCCTGGGGAGCAATTTGATTGGTGAGCCCATATCCACTACATACTACTTCAGGCCATGGAACAATACAGATGAAAATGGTAATCTGACTCTTAAAGCAATGCTTCAGAGGTAAGAAGCGCAGTTATAAATCCATAGGGTTGAATACACAAAATCAACCTACAATTTCAGCTTAAGTATTTGAGACAACATACAGTTTAAGAAAATGATGTTCTTCCTATTCCTTTATGATTTTATTTTGTATAACTTGCCACCTAATGAAATTTGTTGTAATAAAATCAACTTTATTGAATCTAATTAAAATGCCTTGGGGAAAACTTTGTGGTGAAATGGTAATCTGAAATATTTGAGGTCTGAAGGGAAATGAGTTGTGAAAACACAGGAAAGTTTCACTTCTCACAAAATAAGTGAACTTTTTACTGATTAAGCCAAGGATGGGTGAAGAGTTACTATGGTCATTATTCCTGAAAAATAGAATTAGTAGACCTCTTGATATCAAGAGAACAAAAGCTATCACAAGCCAGTTTCTCTCCTAAAAAAGGGGTTTTGTAGTAAGTATAATACACTCTGCTTGGGGAGGAAGAGGAAGGAGTCTTGGCCTTTAATTAGTGAAATATGCTTTCTGCATAATTTCCTTTCCTCTTTTGTACTCAAAATCCTTAGAACATATACAAATTTATGAGTTATCTTATAGAAGCTAGATTAAGCAAACAGCAATTATATCAACCTAGGTTCAGTTTATTAAGAGGACCTACCAAATTTTATTTGAAGTGATGTTTATAAAGAATGCAAACAGTAACTGCAGAGGAAAGAATAAAATATGTAGCAATGTTGCTGACTCATAGTATTCCAGCTATGTAAAAACTTTAATAATAAGGAGAGTTGAAAATATTAAACAACTATAAAAATCAGTTTCTTGACCTCTTTTGTGAACTGGCATAAAAACAAACAAATGACAAACTAAAATAATTTTATAAATATGATTATTCTTTTCCTAATCATCGATACCACAAGATTTCCAGAGAACAGTGCCATTGAGGGATTAGGAGTTTTCTCTTCATACAGCAAATTTAGCTGCACCTGATAAAATGAGTGATGAGGAAGAAACACTGTTGGAACTTTCTTTGATCCAACATTGTAAGAAATAACAAATATTAAAACTGTTATGCTGCAGTTTAACTTGTCTGCATTCGGCACTCTTTATTAAGATGCTTTCCACCTCTGCAATATATAGAAAAGTTTTAACTAATTTTTCATAACCTAGTGATTCTCAAGGCATCAAATATCTTTGTATTAAAGGTGATCTTAAACATTTTCAAGGGTGGGCTATCTTATTTTTCAACTTGGGAAAGCTCAAGGAGGTACAGACATAATGGTATGAATGAAACTAGCCTTCTTTTCTACTCATGTGGAATCATAAATTATTAGTCACTCAAGACTAATTACTATAATGTGATTAATTGAAAGTCCAAGACTCTTAATGACTGCTCCCCCAGGGTTACACTTTATTTGGGCTTCTGTTTCGAGGAAACAGCCCTGTTATCTTGGAACTAAGAAGTGGCCTTTACCAGTGATTCTGAAACCATCCCCGTAGTTGTGTTTGCAGAGCGTGGCCGTGTTCAGCACTGCCAGCATCATGGATCAGTGAATAACCTGATGAAGTTCAACTAGCAGGTCTGTGCTGCACTGAGTTTTTAAAAGTCATGAAATTCACATAGAAGATGTTGAGGCCATTAGTACCGCCCTGCATCTTGAGGCTGCATGTCTGATTGCTGTGATCGTGCTTGTGAGTTCAACGTCATTGAGAAGTAGAAAGGAAAACCACACACTAAGAGGCGGTGGGGAGCAAATAGGAGAATAGGATACTTCTTGGACAAGAAGATAAAATCAAGCTAAAAAATATTCAAGGGCAAACAGTATTCACAATGTAGCACAGAATGGGGTGAAGATGTCAATTGATTAAAATGCTACAATCTAGGTGACCATTACATGTCAGGAATTGCTCTCTTTAAAAAAACTACAACAGAAAACAAACAAACAAAAAAAGCACCCCAAAACAAAGAATGTTTTTACATTATCAGTTAGGTGAAGGATTCTAAGAAGGTAATTTTTAACTGATTAGCATGAAATGATATATATACTGTCAGCATGCATATTTCTGTTTAAAAAGTATCTAATGAACTTATGCAAATTTATGGTATGTGAAAAAGGAAGTCAGAGTAAGTGGAATTTAATTGAAAAAGCAAAACAAAACAAAAAAAGCAAAAAAAACAACGGGCACATTCCTGTTTGCTACTGACCCTCTTCAGCTGCTGCTGTAACTGTTCCCGCATGGACTCAGGGCAAGTGTCCAGCTGGGTCTTCTGCTCGGAGTAAAGCTCCTGAAGCCTCTCTAGTTTTTCCCTTTCAGCATCAAGCTTTACCTTCTCCTGAAGTTCAGAAATCAGAAAATAGAAGAATAGAAATTACCTTCACACCTAAGCAGGCGTTAGTGAACATTTCCCAAGGATCACACATACAGTACAGTATATGCAAACTCTAGGTATCCTATGAACGTAGAAACATAGGTTAGTGACTAAGGAAAGGGGGTATCAGTGGAAGTAGAAACAAGGGACCCATTTCTGTATTCTCAAAACACAATCTACATCCTGGAGTATTGGCAATGACCCCCATCCTTCCTTCCTTCCTTCATGCCACCACGTTACAAAAGCCGGGGAAGCAACAGTAATGTTGGTCAATGGTCAACAAAGAACAAAAGCGATGCCAGCTGAATTCCTAAGACAGCCTTGCAGAGTCACTTGGCAGAGAGCCAGACAATGAAAAGCAGGCATTTACCTCAAGTGCTGTGGGAGTCCAATTTGCTCAAGACATTTCTTAGGCAAGCTTTGAAAATCACTGAAATTTTATTCCCATGTCAGAGGCACATTAAGCACTTTAGGTAATACCCAGCATCTGAAACAGTTCTAGCTATCTGGTAAACCTCAGTGCTTAAGCAATTGAGGATCTGATTCCAAGGAGAACATCTAATTCAGAGGCTGAGAGAGCTAGTAAAAAAAAAAAAAAAAGACTTGACCAAGCAGTGAGAGGAAGGAATATAAGACACTGAATGTGTGACATTTACTGTGGAGATAAGAACTTCCCCTTAAGCACTGTTTGAGACCTGTTGGCCGTGCTGTGGCTAACGGGTCCCATTCCAGTGCTACAGCAGCCCCACTGCCACCACACTGACATGACAGCCTGATGGTGGCTCTCAGTGTCAGGTCTTGGACACAAGCAAAAAAAAAAAGAACTTCCCCTACAAGGACTGACTGAAAAAATAAGTGAAACATGGACTGTGAAAAAAGAGGAGAGGAGAACACCCAGGAGTCAGAGAATAGAAGAGAAAGGAGAAGATAGCACTAAATCCCTCCTAAGTCACACACTCCAAAGTGACCCGGGCATTTTCCAGATATAATAGGCAAATGTGTAATACAGTGATTATCAGGCCTTCCAATGCCACTTGGTAAACAAACAAAACTTCAACCTGTTTAGTGCTGGTCTTCCCAACTTGTGTTCCCTTTATGATACTCTGAACCCTTGATGTAAGCTTCAGACCTGATTCTCTCCTTGCGGAACCCTCTCGGACTACACAAAAGCACTTTACGAAGAATGACCACAGTTTCACCCACAGTAAGCAAAATACCATGTCCTTCCTTCCTTCCTTTCCTTCATTCATTCCGTGTGAATTGGTAGAAATAAAACTGGCTTCTAAGTATATTACAGAAGTATTTTTTAAAAGATGAAGCTCTGAAGTAGTCCTATGAAATTATACTTACTATAACTTCTTCATCCAAAAGGCCATGATTTCCTGTGTAAACATATATTTAGATTCTTTATAAAAGATGTTATGGGTTTTTTGTTGTTGTTGTTTTTAAGTCTAAAACTGTATGACATCAATACCTATGCCAGTTCACTTGAGTCTCTATTTTTGGCTTAAATTTTAAACTGTCAAGAGCATTTTAGGAATATATGTTTTGATTTAGAAATGCATTCTTTTCTCATAATGATTGAATCCAGAAATCATAAAACTAAAATCCTACTTCATATATCAACTTAAAAATGATTCTGCAACTTATATCTCAGCAGATTGTAAGGACAGTGTTCTTGCCTTTAATGGCAAGTTTGCTCATTGGGCACATACATTGAGCAGGAACTGGAGAAAGCAATGACACTGTTCACAGAAAAAAAAAGGATTCTCAAGTGCTGACTCATAGTAAAACTGAAAATACTGGCAGGATCAGTTGGATTTAGTCTTTACTTTTAGACTCATCATTTTTCCCTTAATAAAACAGCAATACAGAGTACCCATTGTCTTTTGGCCAATAAAATGTATTTCCTCTCTGTGTGGATCAAAGATGGCCCTCTTTAAAAAGCAAACAATGTTATCCAAAAACAATTCTATTTCTAGATATTACATCACCAAATTTTGCAGTAAATCTAGTTCCAAACAGAAAGTTAAGCAAATAAGAAAGTCACTTATTCCAATTAAATACCATAAGTTCAAAGCCCCAAATTTATAGGTATATTTGATAAAAAAAAAAACACTGATACAATATTTGATAATATGAAAAGGTGCTGGCCTAAAACACAGGTCTCAATCCAAAGAAAGAAACAATTGCTCTGACATCCTCATTTTAAAATATTGTTAATAATAGATCACAAATGAACAGCTAATAAAAAATACCTTCTGTTTACATAGTGCCTTCCTCCTGAGGTGCTCAAAACGTTTCGCAACTCCATACAAGGGGGCGGTTAGAAGAATTATGCAAGCGGGCACCATCAGAACCTTCTGCAGCTTCTCTGCGATTTACCAGGAAGGCTGTGACCACTACCTAGGTCTCAGAGCAAAAGCTCAGTGGGGCCAAGGATAGGGCAAAGGAAGTAAAGGGGAAGGATGAGAGAAGGACGAGTGGCAGGTGTGCCTGGCCATAAATCACAGAGGACCACAGAGGTGACAACAGTCCTGCCAGAGCCAGAAGTAGACCAACTCTGAGTCAGAGAGAAATTAATATTCCTCTCTCCTATTTACTGCCCAGGAAGTTTTCAGAAGGAAATTAGCTCCAAACAGTAGTTAATTAGAGCTGAAAGTATCACCTAATACAGCGAAGGTAAAATAGATGGACAAATTAGACTGCGTTCTAATTGCTTTTTGCAATTATTGCGCTATAATTGCTTTTTACAATTATTGCATTATAATTGCTTTTTACAGGGATTCTTGCTTTTTACATGTAAAATATAAAAACAGGGTGTTATTCTCTGCCTCCAGATTTAAAACTCACCTATACCAATGACCATAGCACAGTGATATT